TCACAGAGATCCACCTGTCTCTGCCTCCCTAGTGCTGAGATTAAAGGCGTGCATCACCACTGCCCAACCAAAGTCACTTTTATAACATCAAGACTTGACATGTTTTAGTTTCCCCTGTACACTTTTCAGATGATTCCTGAACAGAAGAACAGTTGCCAGGAGGGTGCATACACCATAATCCCTGCACTCAGGAGACTGGGGCAGGAGGATGGACAGTTCCAGGTCCAAACCAAGCTACATAAGAAGATCCTGACTCTTAACATTAAAAAAAAAAAAAAAAAAGCAGTGTTTAACTCAATTTTAAAATTATGATAATTATTAATGGTCCTTTGGAATATAAAAATCAGTTTTTGTTCTTTTCATAACCAATTCTTATAGATTAAAGATCAAAATAAGAACTGGTGTGAGTGGGTGGTAGGTCTACAAACCTTTAATCCCAGCACTCATGAGGCAGCAGCAAACTCTGTGAGTTTGAGGCCAGCCTAAACTACAGAGTGAGTTCCAAGACAGCCAGGGCTACACAGAAAAACCCTGTTTCAAAACAAACAAAAATAACAGCATGACGGTGTACTGTGTAATACTAGCATCTGAGAAGCAGAGGCAGAAAGATCACTCAGTTTGATGCCAGCCAGGACTACATAGTGAGACTTTATCTCAGAGAGCCAAAAAATGGGGAAAAAAGAAAGGAAAAAACAAAACATGATGCTTCAGTTATCCAGATTGCCACAGAGTCATAGTTTTGTTTAGCATTTTAAAATGCAACACCTGATTATTGGAAGATTTTATTTATTACCAGTTAAAGTGGTAGACTTTTATAGTATCATGGGAAAACTACACTTTTCAAACTTGAGACTTTTGCGATTTGTTCCAGCAGCGCTTATTTTTTAAGACTTTATTGTAATGGGCTTTCTTAGACCTCCAGCCCCCAAATCATGACACAGAGACTTAGTTATGAATGCTTGCCCTAGCTTATGCTCCTTTCTAGTTAACTCTTATAGTAACCTGTTTCTCTTCATCTACATTTTACCTCAGGGCTTTTTACCTTTCTGTCATTCTGTGTGTCTTGCTTTCCTGTTTCCTCCGTGGCTGGCTGGCTGGCTTGCTCGCTCCAAGCATCTCCCTTTCATTCTCTCTCGAACCTAGATTTCTCCTCCTACTTATTCTCTCTGCCCACCAGCCCTGCCTGTCCCTCTCCTGCCTAGCTACTGGCCCTTCAGCTGTTTATTAGACCAATCAGGTGCCTTAGGCAGGCAAAGTGAAACAGCAACACATCTTTGCCTAGTTAAACAAATGCAGCATACATGAATGTAACACATCTTTGCCTAGTTAAACAAATGCAGCATAAAGAAATGTAACACATCTTTTTGCTTAGTTAAATAGATTACTTTGCAACACAAATTTAATACATCTTTACTTAGTTAAACAAATAATTCTATTCCACAACACTTTTTTTTGTGATATATATTTTTTATTTTACAATACCATTCAGTTCTACATATCAGCCATGGGTTCCCCTATTCTCCCCCCTCCCACGCCCTCCCCTTACCCCCAGCCCACCCTCCATTCCCACCTCCTCCAGGACAAGTCCTCCCCCGAGGACTGTGATCAACTTGGTAGACTCAGTCCAGGGAGGTCCAGTCCCTTCCTCCCAGACTAAGCCAAGTGTCCCTGCATAAGTTCCAGGTTTCAAACAGCTAACTCATGCAATGAGCACAGGACTTGGTCCCACTGCCTAGGTGCCTCTCCACAACACTTTCTACCTGTTGAAATACCACTCTTCCATCATATCTTTTTCTGACTTAAAATGGAATTTGTAGACTTTTGTTTTTTTTTTTTTGTTTTTTTTTTTTTTTTTTTTTTTTTTTTTTTTTTTTTTTTTTTTTTTTTTTTAAGGGTTTTTTTTGTTTTTTTTTTTTTTTTTTTTTTTCTTTTTTTTTTCTTTTTTTTTTTTTTTTGGTTTTTCGAGACAGGGTTTCTCTGTGTAGCTTTGCGCCTTTCCTGGAACTCACTTGGTAGCCCAGGCTGGCCTCGAACTCACAGAGATCCGCCTGGCTCTGCCTCCCGAGTGCTGGGATTAAAGGCGTGCGCCACCACCGCCCGGCTACTTGTGTTTTTTATTCTGACCAAAATATAGTTGAGAGATTGGATTTACAATCACAAAGCAAACAAAACTCCCCACACAAATACACAAGACAACAATATCAAAGACCAGTAAGCCAGGGGAGAGCGATCCCCTGGGGAAACAAGGCAGCAGATCGAGCTGGAGTCCAGAGAGGACAGATAGGTGGCTTTGGAAGAGGAGAGAGCCCTATCAGTGGAGCTCCAGAAATGTGTGCATGCCATTTGCTTTTCAGACAGCACTGCTCAGTCAGAAAGAGCCACCCGAAAGCAACCCTGTTTCTTTTCAGAGTCAGACATGGTGGCAGATGCTTGTATTCTCTGCACTCAGGAGGCAGGGTGAGTTCAGGATGGTGAGTTCAAGGCCAGCCTTGGCTACACAGCAGCAAAACTGTGTGAAACAAAAATGTTTTAGTTACTACCAACCAAACTAGGAAGGCCTTGTAGGTCATAGACCATCAGGGAGAGTGCTCAGAAGCAGGTTGCCTTAGTGGTGGATGAATACAGCCCTCAACAGAAGACTCCTTCAGCCTCCAGCAAAGCTCCAGAACAGGCTTGGAAAGGGTCAGATTGTTTCCAGGTACTTAACCGGGATAAAGTTCCACGTTAGAGGAGCGCAAAAATACCCGGCCCTCACGGGGCAGGTTCAGTTAGCCTCTGGTGCAGAATCACCACGCTCGCAAAGGAGGAGGACTCTGATGATGGGGTTAGTGGACACTGGAGTAGTTGTAGCCCGAAGAAGACTTAGCAGTGCGGACATCCAGAATATACTCAGAGACGGTTTAAAAAAAGGAAAAAGAAAACCAAGAAACTATGAGGACATGATATGTATACAATTGTAGTTTTTAAAAGAAAAAGGATCCAGTCCTGAGGGGGGGACTGGACCTGCCTGGACTGAGTATCAGGTCGATCCCGGTCCTCGGGGGAGACCTTGATCTGGAGGAGGTGGGAATGGGGGGTGAGCTGGGGGGAGGGGGAGCAGGGGGGGAGAGCATGGGAATCTGTGGCTATTATGTGGAACTGAATGGTGTTGTAAAATAAAAAAAATAAATAAAAGAAAAAAAAGAAAAAGGATCACATTAACTTATTATTTTTTTTTTTAAGAAAAAATTAGCCAGGAATTTCAAAATTTGGCAAGAAAAACAAGGAAAGTGATTAATAGGACGAGATACATAGAAGGTAGACTCACATAAAAACTGCATCAGTGGTCACATTAAGTATAAAAGGCCTAAAAATCTCCAGTTAATAGACAGAGTGCTATAAGTTGCATAATAACTCATTGTGTGCTGCCTAGAAGAAACTCACTATGTGAATAAAAACATACAAACAGAAAAGATATACTCATTGCTAATACTATGTAAAGGAAGCTGGGATGATTGTACTGACTTTTCACCAATTAGATTTTAGAGCCAACAAGATTACCAAGAATAGGGACTAGAAAAAATGGACTCAGTAGTTAAGAGTGCTTTCCTGTTCTTCCAGGGTACCTGAGTCCAGTTTCCAGCAGCCACACTGGGTGGCTCACCACCACCCCTGCAACCCTGGAGCTGGAGCTTGCTTCTGCCAACATTCATGTGCACATATACCTACACACAAATGTTAAAAACAAAATGATTACCAAGAATGAAGACCTTCTTATGTTAAAGGGGTCACCAGGCGGCAGCGGTGGGTCACGCCTTTAATCCCAGCACTCGGGAGGCAGTTTGAGGCCAGCCTGGTCTACAGAGTGAGATCCAGGACAGGTACCAAACTACATGGAGAAACCCTGTCTCAAAAAACCAAAAAAAAAAAAAAAAAAAAAAAAAAAAAAAAAAAAAAAAAAAAAAAAAAAGTTAAAGGAGTCATCAGTCCTAAATATTTAATGGTTTGAAATATTTATGTACCTATAAACAGAACTTCAAAATACATGAATCAGAATCTGATACACCTTGAAGAAAGAGGTCTCTAATTATCCTATCAACTGATAGACCAGTGAATGACTCCCCCAGGGGAGCATCAGAAGTGAATGCCAACTACCTGAAGTGACATTTGTGATAATAGTCTATCCATTATAAGCCAAATACACTTTATTTTCAGTTTCACATAAGATACTAAGAGAGTTCACATTTTAGTTCATAAGACAGTGTTCAAAGATTTGCATGACTTGATACTCAAGTATGTATTCTGACCAAAAGGAATTAAATTAAAAATTAATGCTGGGTCTGGGCATAGTGACACATGCCTTTAATCCCAGCACTCACAAGGCAGAGGCAAGTAGATCTCTGTGAGTTTGAAGCCAGCCTGGTCTACATAGTGAATTTCAGGACAGCCAGAGATGCATAGTGAGATCCTATCTTAAAAAAAAAAAAAAAAAATCAATGCTGGGGGTTGGAGAGACAGGACCAGGGTTCAATTCCCAGCACTCACATGATGGCTCATAATATCTGTAACTCCAGGAGCTCTTCCAGCCTCTGAGAGCACTAGGCACACACATGATACACAGACAGACATGTGGGCAAAATGCCCATACATGTAAAATAAAATGGAAAAAATATGCTGGGTGCAGTGGTGCACCCTTTGAAACCCAGCACCTGGGAGACAGAGGCAGGTGCATCTCTGTGAGTTTGAGGCCAGCCTGGTCTACAGAGTCAGCTCTAGGCCAGCCAAAGCTACATAAACTCTGTCTCAAAAAAAAAATTATTTTTAAAAATGAAAAATACCCAGAAAAATTATAAACATTTAGGAATGAACACATTTCTCAGAAACTCAAAGGTTATAAAACATTTTTGAATTTTAATAAGTCATCAAAATTTGTGATTTATAGTTATGGAAATACTCAAAGGACAAATACAAAAGTATAAAGTCACAAAGAAGTATCTAGCTTACTTTTAAAGAAACTAAAGGGCTGGGCGGTGGTGGTGCACGCCTTTAGTCCCAGCACTCGGGAGGCAGAGCCAGGTGGATCTCTGTGAGTTCGAGGCCAGCCTGGTCTACAAAGCGAGTTCCAGGAAAGGGACCAAAACTACACAGAGAAACCCTGTCTGGAAGGAAAAAAAGAAAGAAAGAAAGAAACTAAAGAAAGATAAAAGCTAAAGTAAACAGAAGAAACAGAGCAAAGATAAAAGCTTTAATCAGGAAAATAGAAAATAGGAAGAGAGCAGGGAAAGCCACTGAAGTAAAAAGTTGTCTCTGGGAAACCACAAATATCGTCTATGAACTTCCAGCCTGGTTGACCAGGAAGAGAGAGGACACACATTACCAGTCGAGAGTGAAACTAACAAAAGTATAGAACATGCAATTTTAGAAAGAAGATTAAAAACAGGATGAGTTGCTTTATGATAATAAGTAGACAGTGATTCAAGACAGCAAAGCTTATTTCAGAAGTAATGAATAGCCTGGGAAGTGCTTCATCTGTTCAAAACAAAGAAAAGGCTGAATTCCTTCAAGGAAAAGTAAGCCTACATGGCTTTCCCTGAGGAATCTACCAGATGTTTGAAGAACCATAACATTAGTTTTGCACAGACTCCTGGATAACGTTGACATAGGGAGACTATTTCCTAACTCATTCTGTGATGCCAATGTTATAACGCCAAACTTGAACACAATAGTTTGGGTGGAAAAAGAAGCAGAAACAATAACCCTTAAGAACATAGTCCACATGGTGGCTCTCAACAGTCTCAGGGGATCTGAAGCCCTCTTCTGACCTTGACAGGCACCAGGCATGCACATAATGCAAGACATACATGTAGGCAAAATATGTACATAAAATAATAAGTCTTTAGAATTTGTTTAATAGAAAAAAAAGACTGCCAGGGGCTAGACAGATGGCTTAGTGGTTAAGAACACTGACTGCTCTTCCAAAGGACCTGGGTTCAATTCCCAGCACCCACATGGCAGTTCATAACTATCCAGGGGATTCAACACCTTCACACAGACATACACGCAGACAAAACACAAATGCACATAAAATAAATATAAAATTTAAATGAAAAAGACCTGTATTTTCACAAACAAAAGCTTTGGAGCAAATTGATCTCTGTATTTAAGAAAACAATCCTTGCCGGGCGATAGTGATGCACGCCTTTAATCCCAGCACTTGGGAGGCAGAGCCAGACGGATCTCTGAACTACAAGCCAGCCTGGTCTACAGAGTGAGATCCAGGACAGGCACCAAAGTTACTACATGGGGAAACCTTGTCTTGAAAAAACCAAAAAAAGAAAAGAATCCTTGTTTTGTACTATACATCTTGGTATGTGCAGGTTTAGATAGGTTTAGATAACCCCTTTTCATTTCTAAATTTTGTTGTCATCATTTCACAATAGATTAACCCTGTAGCTTGACCCTGTAGATTGTAAGGGATTCCAGGATCATGATTAAAATCTCGTAATTGCAAAATTCCTTAAAGTGCTTGCTAGTAAACAGGACCACTATCAGATTTTAGTTGTGATGGGAGTCTTAGAAAGGAGCTGTGTAACAGATGATTAATGGCAATCGAAGTGGTCTCGCCTGGTGAGTAGAAGCAACTGTATTAGAAAAAGTATCAACTGTTCACGAACATATGTCCAAATTCTGAGATATGAATAATACCTGTTTGCCAAATGGCGATAGATTTTTAACCCTCAAGGATTAATTCTGCCAGCAGAGGGCAGCAGAGTGGAGTCAGCTGTGGGAGGCAAGAAGGCAAGATGGCACAGTAGCGAGTGGTAGCTCAGACTTCGGGAGTCCGACCCCATTGCTTTATTTTAGGCTCATTTAAGCACAGCACAGTCTGGTGGAAACTATTCTTGTGCACAACAAAGCGTGCCTAAGTCTCCGAGGAACAAAATAATCTAAATAACTACATTGACTCTGTAAAGTACATGTGACACCTTTCATAAAGTTAGGTTCTACAGCCCGACTAAGAAAACGAGTTTATGAGGAAGTGCCCAGTGCTGGAAAGTCCTCAGCCATACAGATAGCACAATGTCACCAGGCTAGAAAGCACTTCTGCTCCAGCCTTCTGGGTGGAAAATGGCTTTTGTATTCCTTCCCTTGAAGGATTAACACTATGTATTTAACAGTCTGGGTTCCCAGTGCATGTCTGTGAGCACAGAGACTTCCATATCCTCTAAAAAAGTCAACCCAGTTGATTATAGACTTAAATGTAAAGCACAAATTTATGAAATTTCTGGAAGAAAATCTTTGTAGTTTTGGATGTACCAAGTTTTTCTGAAGTAAAATCAGTAAAAGGAAAAACAATGGGACTAGTTATGGTGGTACTCCTGTAATCCCAGTGTTAAGAGATGAGGCAGGAGAATCATTTGAGTTCGAGGACAGACAGAGCTACACAGCAAGCAGATCAGAGACCCCCTGGAGACCTGAGGGCGGGGAAGGAGGTCTTAGAAAAGGACACAAGGAAAATTTTGTGGCTGACGGATTTATTATGTGGATTGTGGTGGTGGCTGTATGGGGATGGGGAGAATGCACACATACTCACACATGGCACGCTAGAGTCTGAGCGGTTTGTTGTGTGTTTCTCACACAGTCTGCTTAGGACCATGCTTATACATTCTCCAGCACTTATAGTGTGCTGCTTGAAGTACTTCCCTTCAGTGTTAGTGAGGAGGAAGAATGTGTGCCGTGTGTGTATTGTTTTCTTACAATTTTAATGTGTTGTGGAATTGAAAGGCCAGGTAGCTGGGTGGTGGTGGTGTACGCATTTAGTCCCAGCACTTGGGAGGCAGAGGCAAGCAGATCTCTAAGTTTGAGGCCAGCCTGATCTACACAGAGAAACCCTGTCTTAAAAAAACAAACAAACAAACAAACAAACAAAAAAAAACAAAAAGAAAAGGCAGAGAAAGAAGAAGACAAAGACAGACAGGCAGACTAGGTAAGTGCCCTGGTGTGTGTTCTCTGACATGCTGAATGTATTTTCAGCAGAATATCTAGGAAATATTAGATTTTCCTTGGCTATCAGAACTTGAGTATCCAAATGGATGGTAGAGAGGAAGGAAGGGCAGAACAGTAGGAGAGCCCTAAATGTGGGATGAATGAATACTGACTGTCTTCTTAGGAGAAACTCATGGTGTTGGTCAGCTGACTGGGTAACTATAATAAGCAAATGAATGCTTTGGATGCTGCTGTACAGGGCACAGGGCACATTGTAGGTGTTTGTAAAGCTAAGGACTGGATAATTCCTATTCCAGCTGGTCCCTACTTTGTCACGTGAGTTCTTTTTTTTTGGGGGGGGGGAGTTTTGAGACATGGTTTCTCTGTATCCTGGCTGTCCTGGACTAGCTCTGTAGACTGGATTTGCCTTGAACTCATAGAGATCTACCGGCCTCTGCCTCTCAAGTGCTGGGACTGAAGGAGCACATCATTAAACCCTGCTTACATGAGTTCTTAAAAAGAAGAGGAGCTTTCTGGTTATAAGGCAGGAGATATAACTACAAAGGAATGATGCAAGAGAACTACATTTGGCTCAGTTGGTAACGTGCTTGCTACGTAAGCACCAGGACCTGGATGCAGACCCCAGCACCCACATTAAAAACCACTTGTGGTGGTGTGAGCCTGGGAAGGCAGAATCAGGAGAGTCTCTGGGCTTGTTCAGACAGTCCAGCCAAATTTGCAAGGGATAGGTTCAGTGAGACCCTGTTACAAAAAAATAAGGTGGAGAGCAACTCAGGAAGGCACCTGAAGTCCACTTCCGGCCTCTGTGAGAATACACAAATGAATAACACTGAAAGATTAATTTAGGAACCAACAAAGAAATGCCTCATTTGAAGATGGAGGAGGGGACCCCGGCAAAGACTCTGTAGGTAGCACCTAGAATCTGGGGAAGGCCAAGGAGCGGTCGGCCCCTGTCCGTGTGTGTCCTCCCCCCCCCAGGCCCATAGGCAGGGTCCACCCTCTTGCTTTGCTTTTTCTGCTTGTCTCGGCTCCAGAAGTGCAGGTTTATAAACCGTGTGGTTTCACCTGTGAGCCTCTAGTCATGTGTTCTAGCAGCTCCAGAAAACTAGGGCTGTGTCTAAGGGAAGCTCAGAGCTAATTAATTGATTGATTCATTTGTTTGTTTGTTTGTTTATTGCCCAGAGGGCTAGAATGGGAAGTTGAGTTCTATAATACTAAAATAACTTTTTATTCCTTGGAAATTTTTCCCTTTCTGCCTATCAAATCTGACTTCCCACAAAACACAGATTTATTCATTAAAGGTAATTTCTAAATATAAAGTCTTAGAGCTGGAGTGTTGTTTTAGCCTAACCCCTACAATTTATAGCTAGGAAAATTGAGTGAGGGCAAAGGCTTTGTAGCCAGTGCCTGTAGATGAGGGTGTGTGCCTTTTGGCCTTTAAGCCACCTACCTTCAGAATGGGGACTCAAGATGGCCAAAGCTTTTGTTCTTACGTGAGGAAGGCTTGTTCACAGGCCCAAAATGCTATTCTTTTTCTTTAAAAATTGATTTATTCCATGTGCTCACAAGCCTTCAAATCTCCAGAAATTAGAAAGGTATACAAATTACAAACCAAATGTTACATATTAAATTTTGCTGTAATTTATCTTTAAAGTACAGGAAATTTATTTTTAGAGATAACTCAAAATGCATTCATTCATGTGCTTTTTTAGTACTCTTAAGGAAATCATTCTTTAGTGTTTTTTCAACTCTTGTTATGAAGTGCTGTTTTTGTACAGTTTTTATTTTGGACTTAAAATGACTTTTAAGAAACACAAGGAAGCCATGTTTTTAATATCTGCTTGATTTACATTGAAATGTTTGAATGAGACACTGGTTTATTACAAGAGAATGCAATATTTTATTTATGTGTTATGGATGTTTTGACTGCATATGTGCCTGTGCACCGTGTGTGTGTGTGTGTGTGTGTGTGTGTGTGTGTGTGTGTGTGTGTGTGTGTTATACCTGCAGAGGCTAGATAACATGGAGCTAGAATTACCACTGTTTATGAGGGGCTGTGGGGGTGCTGGGAATCAAACCCAGGTCCTCCATAAGAGCAGTCAGTGCTCTTAGCTGCTGACCATGCCTCCAGCTGTGGGATAGGATAGGGTATAAGACTTGGTTCTAGGTTTCATTTCTCTGTGAACCATCTTTCCTCTGATTGCCAGGCGTGTGTATCACGGAGATGCTGATGTGGTCCTGGTCCTCTGCTTGCTGTGTCGTGTACACAGATGCTTCCAGTTCACTTCACACCTACATGTTTAGTTTATCTTCGTTACCACTCCTGGGGAGAACAAATCTTATTTCTCATTTTAAAGTTACAATTGGGTGCAGCATAATTTTTTTCCAGATTTAATTTAGAGAAGCAATTTAGTCAGCTTGCCATGGCGTTTTAGCACTGATTCTTTATTCTGCCTGGTATTTTACCCTCTTTGTTTTGACTGCTTTTGAAATCACAGTTCTTTTCACCATTCATTGAGTGCTGCTTATATGTCCTTTATTTAGACTAAGCAGTGGAGGTATAAAAACAAAGGGGGACATATTTCACACTCTGGGGGTATTTATTGGCTTCTGTTGGGATGTTCTTAGAAACCAGCAGCAGACTGGGAACTAAACTATTAGGTGTTAATGAGTCACCTCAGGTTAATCTACCACTCTGGTACCAAGTAGAAATTTGATTTTTTTTTCTTTTTTTTTTAAGATTAAAAACATGGAGCCAGGCATGGTAGCATACGCTTTTAATCTCAGCACTTGTGAGGCAGAGGCAGGCAAATCTCTGAACTTGAGGTTAGCCTGGTTAATTTAGCAAGTTTCAAGCCATCCAGGATCCTATCTCCAAAACAAAACCAAAGAACACAGACCAAAGTTAAAGAGATCCAGAATGTACGTTTCATGGAGACACATGTTCTGTTGTAGTGTTTCCCCTAAAACACTGCCTGGCACAGCATAATTTTGGATTCCCCTCTTGGGGTTCAAACTCAGGACCTCAAAATCTCAAAACACAAAACAAAGAAAGATACTAAAATAAGTAAGTCAATAAGTGGAGTTTTTTTTTTCTTTCAATTTTATGTTTATGGATGTTTTCCCTGCATGTGTGTATTGTGTTTCAAGTGCATGCCCAATGTCCAAGAAGGCTAGCAGAGGATGAAGGATCGATCCCCCAGACCCAGAGTTGCAGATGATTGTGAGCTCCCATGTGGGTGCTTGGAATTGGATCCACAAGCCCCTCTGGAAGAGCAGCCAGCGCTCTTAACCACCCAGTCATCTCTCCAGCCCCTGAGTTGAGGCTTTATTATTAGGAAGAAGTGAGGAATATTGAGCATTATCATCAGTTGCTACAGCATTTAATAGCCATGCCTATCAGATAGACCTTGGGCTGGGGTTTTATGACTTCATATAGAGCCCTGTGGAGTTTGTTAGCAGAACATCAAGTCAAGAAAGTGCAGGAGAAAGCCTGGACTGCCTGCCTCAGCAGGTGGATGCGCACTGAGGGCTTAGAAGATTGATAGGGTGGGAGCACAGGGCGGGAGAGCAGTCTCCTCAGTGCTTTGGGAATAGGTCCTTCAACCTGTCACGGTGATGCTCAGCTTCTTCAGCAGAGGGTTTCAGCTGTGCTGCCCAACGTACAAGTAATCAGCAGTGAGGCTTGGGCCGTAAGAGCTTGAGAACCAGGCCAGGGTGTAGCTCGGGTAGAGTGCTGCTAGCATGCACAGGCCCTGAGTTCAGTGTCCAGCAGTGGTGGTGACAGCATTTTCATCTTAATTACCATTAAGCTCCCTAGCATGTTATTTACCCAGGGCTCTCCCCCAGATGTGCTGAGAGCGCCCCTGCTCAGCGTGTCCCCGCTAGAGTTCCTGTCCTGGCTTTAGAGAGCACTTGCCGTGACCCCTGGGACCCACATGGAGGGAGGAGAGGAAGCCTCCTGGCAGCTGTCTGCTGTGGCATGACACGCCCCCACACCCCACTCACACACCAAGTGTAATTTTAAAACGTTGATTAACGGGAAAAGAAAGAATGAGAAGTCCTGATGGCTGGACTCCCTTAAGTTTGAAAAGACTGTGAAAGCAATGTAACAGTGTTAAGCTATTTTAAAAGAAGTGAAAGTCTCTGGGTTTGGTGGCACCTGCCCTTAATTCCAACATTTAGGAGGCAGAGACGCAAATCTCCTGAATTTGAGGCTGTTCTAGGATAGCCAGGGCTACATAGAGACTCTGTCTTAAAAAAAAAAAGAAATCTTCAGTAGGTGTAAAATCGTCGGTTAGCCTGCTCCTCCCGTTATTCTGTTGTTGTTTCGTTGAGAGCGGGTCTTGTGCAGCCTGCGACAGCCATACGCTCCGGGTCCTCCGGCTCCTGACAGCCTTGTTCTCTAGTGGATGTCACCTGTTTGAGCAGTGTGGCGGGGCTTTGCTTGCTGAGGATCTTTGCAGACTTCTTGGAATACATATATGCAAATACATACACATTGCTTCCTAAAAGCAGGACCATGCTACAAATTGTTCTGTGTGTGCCATTGTCTTTTCTCTTAAGATGTGTTGGTGCCTGGTGTGATGGCGCACCCCTTTAAGGTGGGCAGATATCTGTAAATTCGAGGCCAGCCTGGTCTACATAGGGAGTTCCAGGGCAGCCAGGGCTGTATACAGAGACCCTTTCTTTAAAAAAAAAGAAAAAGAAAAAGAAAAAAAAAAGGCAGCTAGGCCATGGTAGTGCACACCTTTAATCCCAGCACTCCGGAGGTAGAGGCAGGCGGATCTCCATGAGTCCCGGCCCAGCCTGCCTGCCTTGAAATAGTAACAACAAAAACCAAAAGGATGTGTTGGCACGTCCCCCTTTTTTGTTTCTTTGTTTTTCTTGTCAGTATTACAAGGTGGTTTTCCTAAATGGGTACGGCTTCACCTGTTCCATACAGGTGATGCCTGCAGCTGTGGTAACCCTGAGGAGAAA